CTATCGGATCCTACAGAGACATGAGTCATGTTTCTGGAAGTGTCCAGAAACAAGACAATGATATGAAGGATTTCCACTTAGTCGTATTGCCTATATGAATGATATAACAATATATTGCGGGACCTGTTCTCTATGCGAATCAGCCAAGCCACCTCGCAGCCGTTCAACTCTAATTGCATCCAAGCTCTACTACTAGTTACTACAGGGTGGGCCACTTAAAAGTAGCCCGCCTCCTATAATACTGCGACAGTAAGAACGAGCAAGTGGATTGTTTTTCACCACCTTCGACCACCTCTGCCACGCTCGGACCAGAGGCGGGCTACTTTTAAGTGGCCCACCCTGTTCTATACTGGAACGTTGGTAGTCCAGTTATTTTTCATGGGCTAGTGGATATCCGCTAAATTCGAACATCAAATTCTTTCACCCTTTGCTTGGTAGGGAGAAAATGTTTATATGAAAATATTTGAACCGGTAATTATTTGGTGCTTTCAAGAATATACATCTTGCTATTTGTGTCTGCTTAGGTACGATATATTTAATGTCTGGATCAAACGCATCCTCAAAAGGGGGAAAGCAATCTAAAGAAACAAAGTAATTTTCTGGTACGGTATGGGTTAGAAAATGAGAGAGAGTGTAGTCTTAAAATATACTGGAATTTAACCATTTAGGTCCTGGGGGGACTCAGAAGTCCCCGCATATTAATCGAATAATATACTTTAGAGTTATATTAGGCATGACCTTGAGACTTGGAGTGACTTCCGAGTCCCTCCGACCCCACCAACTCACTTCTTCCACAATACCACAGTTGTAATATTTTTGTGGGCATTTCATTCTTGTACCATTGCAAGCTATAAAAATGACGAAAACAATGATATCAAAGAATTTGGTGGTGCTCAAAGGAGGCGAGGAAACCCACCCCCCTGTCGCCTCACTGCACAATGCCATGCTAAAAGCTTTCGAGGTTTTTTTTTGCCCTACTTTTCAGCCCCACCTTTTGAGAGGAAATCGTCGAACACTGGCCATCGACAATTGCAACTCTCTGTGAGGCATTGATCAAGCAAGCTACGAAACGGTGAGACCAGAACTGAAGATTACATTGATGAACTATGCAACCACAATACCTAAAGTATTAAGAAAAAAGGTGGTAGGTCTTTTTTGTGGTGTCTACGATCCGTAATGGGCAGAAAAAAATTACGAGGTCTACATTTTTTTAAATACATTTGCAACTCTANAAAGTAGCCCGCCTCCTATAATACTGCGACAGTAAGAACGAGCAAGTGGATTGTTTTTCACCACCTTCGACCACCTCTGCCACGCTCGGACCAGAGGCGGGCTACTTTTAAGTGGCCCACCCTGTTCTATACTGGAACGTTGGTAGTCCAGTTATTTTTCATGGGCTAGTGGATATCCGCTAAATTCGAACATCAAATTCTTTCACCCTTTGCTTGGTAGGGAGAAAATGTTTATATGAAAATATTTGAACCGGTAATTATTTGGTGCTTTCAAGAATATACATCTTGCTATTTGTGTCTGCTTAGGTACGATATATTTAATGTCTGGATCAAACGCATCCTCAAAAGGGGGAAAGCAATCTAAAGAAACAAAGTAATTTTCTGGTACGGTATGGGTTAGAAAATGAGAGAGAGTGTAGTCTTAAAATATACTGGAATTTAACCATTTAGGTCCTGGGGGGACTCAGAAGTCCCCGCATATTAATCGAATAATATACTTTAGAGTTATATTAGGCATGACCTTGAGACTTGGAGTGACTTCCGAGTCCCTCCGACCCCACCAACTCACTTCTTCCACAATACCACAGTTGTAATATTTTTGTGGGCATTTCATTCTTGTACCATTGCAAGCTATAAAAATGACGAAAACAATGATATCAAAGAATTTGGTGGTGCTCAAAGGAGGCGAGGAAACCCACCCCCCTGTCGCCTCACTGCACAATGCCATGCTAAAAGCTTTCGAGGTTTTTTTTTGCCCTACTTTTCAGCCCCACCTTTTGAGAGGAAATCGTCGAACACTGGCCATCGACAATTGCAACTCTCTGTGAGGCATTGATCAAGCAAGCTACGAAACGGTGAGACCAGAACTGAAGATTACATTGATGAACTATGCAACCACAATACCTAAAGTATTAAGAAAAAAGGTGGTAGGTCTTTTTTGTGGTGTCTACGATCCGTAATGGGCAGAAAAAAATTACGAGGTCTACATTTTTTTAAATACATTTGCAACTCTATGGCAATCCGATAAATAAACTAGATGTTCTTTGTCATAGGAAATATTATCTATAATACTACAGAATAGGAGAGCTGTACGTCCGTACGTCCTGGGGAGGGGTGGGAGGCGGACGGGGGCAGGGAGGGCGAGGAGGCGGAGGGATTGGGGGGCGGCAGTGGAACTTTCGCGGCTGTTCTGGGGGTGAATAAGAAGGGGGAGGGGTGGGGGCCGAGGAGGTGCGGGGGAAGCGGTGGGGAACGGAGGAGGTGGGGAGGCGGGGGTTGGGATGGTGGGAGGTCAGAAGGAGGGGTGGAAATCGGTTACCTGAAAGCATTGTAAAAAACCTGGGTCTGGTACAGTGGTGTCACAGATAACAAACCATCCAAACCGATTCCTTTCATCGCTGAGTGCTGTTTGTTTTCCACAATACCGCCCGTGTCTATACTTAACGATATAATAGGGGAGCTATAGGTACGTACGTCCGTGCGCATAGCCATCCATCCATCTGTCCCACAAGAATACCAGAGAATATTCTAGAACTTTCTGGAAAATTATAGAAAATTGTACGAAGGCCATAATGTTTACGATAGAAAGTTGAGGTAAACTAGAATTTCCTGGAAGCTGGTAGAATATTGTGGAGAATGTGGTCCAGTTTCCATTTCAGGACGTTTTCTAACCACCCAGAGTTTTCCATTGTATTACCTGCTTGGTGGACCAACTGCTGCAGACAGGCCCGACCTAACAAGGCGTGTTTTCAAACTGAAGCAAAAGGAGCTGCTCTAAGATTTGTACTTGGGAAACATCTGGCATACATATATGAGATAGAATTTCAGAATTTCAACTCACTCGCCGAACTCGAACTAACTTCTCCTTTGAGTCAACCATGCGTCAATAAAACTTCCCGACTGGGAAGGGGAAGCTACCTGTGAAGCTGTTATTTATGTATGAGTCAAGTCGGATTAATTGATTGCATTCTGTGGAATATTTGACCTGCTTCTATTTTCGTGATGCCGATTCATCGACATAAGCTGATCATAGAGCATCTTTGGTCGACATAGGACATTAAATGGAGCTTATTTCCTGTTACTAAAGAGGCACTGGGTGTAATTTTGCACAGAGATTTATTCGATAATGCAGTTTTATTTGCCGATTTATAATGCATTTTCACTGTAATAAAGCTGAATTATTGGATAGTTCAAAAATCCACACACAGTTTCGAAAGAAAAAGAAGCTAGGGTAAGTGCTAAGAATATCGGCACTAGGGGTAATCTCGGCACTTTGCAATCGCCAAATTACTGCTTTCACTACTAGTCCTCCTAGCCACGGGTAGATAAGTTTTCTCATATGGTGGGACTAATGCTAAAATGTGCGTAGTCATATTTGCTGTTTTGAGGTTTTGGGATCAATAATTAACGTTCAGGTATGGTGTAGGGTTGAAAATGGCCCTCATGCAATACTGATGCTATGCCAATAAAGAAGTGTCATCAGAAGTTAATGACATCCAGTTCAGCAACAGACGAGACAAAATCAGGGCTATTAACCTAGTGAATTCCTGAAAAGATTGAATGAGTGAACGCAATGTTTACAACAAGTTCCAATGAAAACATTGAGAATCATAACTTTATGCTGGACGTTGCACCTCCTCATTTCACCAACAATGTGCGAACACGTTTGTATAAAGCTTTCCCTTGAAGATGGATCGGAAGACGAGGTGTGCCGGAATGGTTTCTTCGCAGCAGCCCTGGCTAAACACTTTACGACTCCTTTATGTTGGGCTGGACGAAAGAAGTTTTTTATGCCAAACCCAAAAATCTTAATGAATTGGAAGGGGAAAAGAGTTATTAACAGCGTACCTTGACACACATTACGATCAGCATTGGGAAACATACCCGTTCGCATAAGGAAATGTTATAACAATGCAGGAGCACACGTGGAAGTGTGAAGTGTGCACGAATAGAAACCTCTCCAACTGCTGCGGAATTCCCAGTTAGTTTAATTAAATTCCGTTTAAAAAATAAATGAGTATTCACAAGCATTTTGAAATAGGGAGTTACTCATTATATTCCCTGTAGTTGCGATGTACCAAGATTTCCCACAATCGGCTTCTTTTAAATATCCTTGAAAATATGTTTTCATCTCCTTCAATTCCAATAGAGGAAGATTCCAATGGGAAAGAAAAACCTGGAGCATCACGTAGTCTTTTCTAACGGTGGAGATAAGGGAAACCTCGTGAGATTGAGACTAATTCAGGTGCCCTTCCACTCCCATCCTCCTGTCAGTCATGTGGGCCGATAAACTCTTATCACATTTTCCTCTAAGGAGGATATCGGGAGCCACGACGCTTTTACAGGAGGAGAGGCTGCTTTACTGGTAAATGGTGAGTGAATGCTCTCGTCAATCGTATCCCCTTACATATTTTGCTTTAAAATCCGTTTTTTGATCCGCTTAAATTTCAACAAAAGGTGTCATTCTTGTCCTAGAGACAACTATGCGGACGATGCTTAAAAATATGTAATCTTATTGAATTTTGAGGAAAAAGGTCAAATACCATTTTTCTCAAAAAATTAAAACCGGCCAAATATTGCCAGGTTTGGAATGGTAATTTGCATGCGCGACTACATTGAAATAGCTTTCTTTCCAATGTAATATTTCAGTCAGAAGTACTCATTTTTATAGTAACCCGTTTTTCCTTTATTCATCAGAGTATTTACATGCTGAGTTCTCTTTCTTCAATTCCATTTCAGTCTATAATGATGTAGTCCACAGCCAAGAATATGAAAGCCGTAGCAGACGTCATCGCTCGCAATGCAGAAGATTTGGCATTTATCCAAATAGATGCTATCTTGGGAGACCTGAGGGCAGCGTGCATCATACAATATCAGGAATATCTCGATGTGATCGAACAGTCCATCCAGAAGAAGTTACTGCTCCTGCAGGAGATCCTGCCACGTCGGGGGGACGATGCCTTCCCCAAGTTCCTCGAATGCCTCCGGCAACGACGGCACGTGTTGCTCGCTGACAGGATGGAGAGGGGTAAGCGAACTATTTCTTTCTGCAACTTCAAAATCGTCTAGCGTTTCTCGTCCTTCACTCATCATGTAATGTACAGAGGGATGTGAATTCTGCCTCTGCAAGGTTATTTTCAATAATGTTTTCAAATAATTTGGTTTTAATAATAGAAAGCTAAGATTCTACACGCTTCTCTTTTCATTTTTAGAGTGGCGCTCGCTGCTGAATGAGGGTGGGTCTAGGTCCATAAGAGAAAATGGCGAAAAATCAGAGGGATGTTCAGATCCAAGACTACCGACACCCGGATCAATAAAAGCAGAAAACACCACGGATGGAGAGCCTGCCGAAGATTCGAAGGACAAGGAACCAAAAAGTTTGTCACAGTTACTTGCTTCTGTGTTCATATTACTGGGCAGTTTCATTAGCTAATTTGCCATTAACATACCTTCCGTTAAATAAAGACCTGAGCGTTGGAAACAAGAAAAAGTTCACCCGAACAGATCTTTAACCAAGGATGGTCCTTATAAGGTAGTATGTTCCTTCTTGGCTCCCACTTAACTCAATCCCAATGGACCTGTCTGATTCTTTTCATGCTAGAACACGAATGCCATCAGAGGAGGAAGGCCGCGTTTGGCTCAGGATATCGAACTATTTTCTCTCTCCCAACTGGGGATAACCGATTGCTCAGGTTTTTTAAAATGGTATAGAAAAAAAAATTAGGAAGCATATGAATCCCTTCCTTTAGATGGACACTCGTTTCTGTGTGAGGGTGCATCCAGGCCTATAGCAGGAGATGGGGAACAATTAGAAGAAAAATCTTCACCCAAATCCCAAACAGGAAAAACAACCGCGACTTCAGATGGAGAAGCTGCTGAGGTATCCAGGAACAGCGAGTCACAAAGTTCGTCACAGTCAATTGTTCACTTGCATACACTACTGAGAGTTTCCACTAGGGGGCACAAGGGATAGGCAGATAAAGTATGCCACAAAGGATAACGGGGCGGATATATAAATATATTACTTTCTATTATTTAGGGAATCCAGTCCAAGTACTGAAAGAGTACTGCGACAAGAATGGCTGCAAAGTTGAATATATTGATGTTGATGAAAGTGGACCACCGCATGACAAAAAATTTATATCGAAGGTGAGATGCCACGTTTATTTTTTCCCAATGAGGTGAAATACTCCTATTTTGAGATGCTATTAGTGAGATAATTTTTTTCAGGTCGTCATGACGTTTCAACCGGATGAGCCAAGCAAAACCAAGAAGGATGCGAAGGCTGCAGCTGCTTCCCTTTGCCTCAAGAGACTTGGACTCGTGTGAAACTTAAAGAGAGTGCTGGATGCTGGAGTGCTAGAGTGCTGGATGTTCCCTGACGAAAAGGTCCTATATGAATCCTATAGGAAACACATGCTTCCGATTGAATCCTATGGTATTCTTATATAAAACTGCATTATTCCAATTGGAATCCTATAGGAATGTCATAGGAATCGTATAGGGCTGTTTCGTAAGTGTTGCACGGTGCTTGCATGATTTATATCATGTTTGACATTCATAATTCAAATGTATTTTTACATCCGGAATGCATTCCCATGTCTGGTAGTTATAGCCGTTAAAAAAATGGTCCTATATCTTCCTCATAGACTTTTCTTCAACACAAATACATTCCTGTAGATTTCGGCAGTCCTTCGATGGATAACTTCCTGCATGAAGTGCATGCAATATCATTTCCTTATCCATTGCACCTCCAGACTGCCCTCACAAATAAGTTAATATATATTTTTCACATCCGACAATATTATAAGATGCTCGGCCATCAGCTCTAATAATTTTTCAAGATGGCAGCAATGCTATAGGTAGCTACAGATCCAAGGGTGAAAAGCAACGCAAGAAAACGCTGCCTAGAGGCAATGCCAAGCTTCGAACCCTTACTCTGAAACGGACCTATGCAATATATCCACCGTGCTACGCGCGATACAATTATAGCAAAAAAATACATGCACATGACTGTGAAGACAGAAAAGACGTTGCATCTCGTGACTTAATGCCATTGCTTAGGATTTCAAGAGAGGTAATGTTAATTGGAGCAAAAATTCAGACTTTTTCGACTAAGAAATGCAGCATCTCACAGACGACGCCAAGTTCAGACAGTTCCTCCAATCGTGTGCTCAATGCAATCCAAGTTAGGGAATTTACGTTAAAATCCTCAAAGTCCGACACGTCCGACTGGGTGGGCCCATCCCTGTCTGTGGATCAATATTGATACAACGTTGTAACACAATTGAAGTCTCAAAATCCACACATGCTTTGAGTCAATGTCAAAGAATATTGAATAACAATTGAATCAATGTTGACTCAACGTTGAAATGAGACAAGTCGAAAAGATTTATCAGCAGGCACTGCGCATGCACTGATTAAAATAGCACAAACGGATATACTCGCTTGCGCCCTTCGATCACTAAAGCCTTTCTGGAATCATCAACGTGATTCCAACCCTTTTTTACCATCTCGATTAGGGTCTATGTCAAGATCAGATAAGGACGTTCGGGTCTTGGGGAAGGATGTCTATGTATTGTGCAGTAATTGCAATCACAGCTGTCATTTTAGCTGTCCATCACTTAATGAATCCTTCCGACCCAAGAGACTATTGATAGTTTAGGCATATTTTCCTGATTATGAGAACGGGTCTCATGGAGTCAGATCAGCACGTGAACATTGTTGTCTCCGTTCCCGTGCCAGAATTATTGCGGAACTCTTTGGTTTGTGCTGGATCTTTCCTCGAATGTACTGAAGAATTCAAACACCTTCTCCTGTGTTTTCTTTGGAGAAAATATTAGGTACCGTTCAAAAGTACTAGGGACGCGTGCCAGTTGCATATATGTGGTCACCCCCTGCGTTATCCACCTCACATTGAGATCAGGAAACCTTCATTGTGCGAATGTCTCGCCGGATAACTCGCCCAACATGTGTTCATGGAATGTTGACTATGCATTGAATCATGATCATCAACACCCACCAACATCGTGAACATATTATCGTTGAGTCAACATAGTCGTGCACACTGAGAAGTTACATCTGAAAAAAGTCTCTGGTAATACATGCTCATGATATTATTCTTCCTTCTAGAGAGAAAAAAATTCCAGTAATGCGCTATATCAAACAAGGAAACCGCATGAGCAGCAGGATAATGGCAACACCACGAGGAACTCAAGCATACCACAGTGAAGCAATAGGAGGCCTTGAATCTCATCATCCAATTATTCAATACTTCTACCATGCATGTACTATTTTGAGCTGCCTATGTACAATGAACATTCTTCTTTTTCTCCATAAAATAACCTAAACACTCTTGATCCTAATGGGACCCAGTGGTCAAGATATCATGGTATCAAGGCATGAGAAAGGACATAAAAAGGCAGTTACGCCCATAGAGATATGGGCATAACCTTCGATTGGTCTGTTTCTCTTAAAGTTAGATATTAATGTTTATTTATGTTTTTTGTTTAAAGAATATTCTAGTTTCTTACTGACAAGTCCTCCTAATGCCTAGCTCTTTAAGCAAATACATTCTTCCTTTGTATATTCTTCTAGTGAAGTCTTCTAACCACCATTTGCAGCTGGCCACAGCTGGTTGGTTGGCTGCAAGCAATTTACTCCATTTAGAAGACTGAAAAGGGGAAGTAGAGCCAGGCGCCTGGGAATCCCACATTGAAAGATTTGAGTAATTCCGAATTATATTCATCTGATATGTTTGAGGCCTTTGCATGCAGAATTGATTCTGCTCATTGTGGATACGAAACCGAGAGATTCACGATTCCATGGCAATATTTTTTCCCTGATCCTTTGGTGTCGAATATTCCTCACACGCGAAAAGAAATCTGGAAATCGAAGGAAATGTTACGAACTCTTGGTAGTCTCCATATAGTGGTTTCAATCAACGACTTAGTTATTTCTCAGACAACAATGAGTTTAACTGAAATTTTTCTTCGCCTTATAACCATGGGAAAATACTACTTTCATTGTACCGAAGCTTCACTCGATGAGCGTCATTTAAATATTCATAACATGACGTTTTCATATTCTTAAACCCCCATGAGGGAAGATTTCCATGGGATAAAAATCCTTGAGCATCGCATGGCCCTTTCCAACGGTGGAGGGACAGATAAAGGATATCTCTGGTGACGAATCCAGGCGCCCTTGCAGCCCTGTCTGCCTGCCGGTCACATGGGCCGATAACCGCTTATCAATTTTCCTCCTAGGATGATGGGAACGCTTTCATGCTAGGAGTGGCTTTCCTTGCTTTACTTGGTAACTGGTGAGTCAATACTTTCGTCCTTTGCACCCCTTTTTGCTCATTTGCTTTAGGGTTCCATTTTCAGGAGCTTGATTTGAAGTCCAGTTACCTTTCCAGTGGACATTTTTCATTATCGACCCCAATGCGCAGGTAGGCTCATAGAAGTCAAAACCTGTTGAGTGTCATACACAAAGGTCGAAGACCATTTCACTTTTAAAATAAAACGCGAGCAGAAATTGCCAGATTTTTAGTGAGAGCTCTGCTTGCGTGGCTTCCTGAAATTGCTTTTATTTCACATTTCTGTAAGAAATACTTAAAACTATTGTTTCATCAATATTACCAGAGCATTTTCAGGATAAGTTTTTTTTACATTTCATTGTATATTAGGATGATATAGCCCACTGTTACCAACATGAGAGCCGTAGCAGACGTCATCGCTCGCAACGCAGAAGATTTAGTATTCATCCAAATGGATGCCATCTTGGGAGACCTGAGAGCAGCGGGCATAATACAATATCAAGAATACCTCGATGTAATGGAGCAGTCCACCCAGAAGAAGTTACTCCTCCTGCAGGAGACCCTGCCGCGTCGGGGGGACGATGCCTTCCCCAAGTTCCTCGAATGCCTCCGGCAACGACGGCACGTGGTGCTTGCGGATAGGATGGAGAGGGGTAAGCCTATCAGTTTGCGCTGGGTATTGAGAATTGTTGGGCGCTCTTTTTTCCTACACTGATCATAAATTGAGCCGAGGAAAGTGAAGGTATGATTGGAGACAATTATTTTTAATAGTAACTCGCAGTAATTGCCGTCAAATATGAAAATACTGATTTAAAAAATGGGCTTTCCTTTCTCTAGAGTGGCGCTCCTTGCTGAATGGGTGCGGTTCTAGGTCTATAGCAGGAGATGAGGAACCATCAGGGGGAAATTCTGTTGCCACATCACGAGCAGCCGACGCTGCCACGCCGACACCGACAGGGAATACAGTTACGGCCCCAAATGGAGAGACTGCCGATGATACCAAGAACAGCGGGTCTCAAAGTTCGTCCTGTCATTTCTTCCATGCATACGTTTTTGTGCGGTTCAAATTGGCAACAGATGCACAAAATAAATCAACTATGCCCTAAGGGATAACGAGACACAGAATCTTCAGAATATCTCTGGTCATGCAAGTAGCCGTTACTGCAATAGAGCGGGTTCCTTGCTCGCCAAAACGTAGTGGGACAAGAATAATTCTTCACTGGAGCTTGACATCGGTGTGGTGCTTCATGATTTATGCAATCATGTGGAATTATTTTCTTGAACAATCTGATTTAGTGACCAGGAAATGCAATCGTTTTTGACAATATCTCTTCAGCAATTTTGCGTCCGAGATTTAGTAAATAGGTTTTCTCCTCTCCCTCTCTTTCTCCCTTGAAGTTGAGTGGCGCATCACTTCGTTCCATTCTTATTCATCATGTATCAATTGCCGTATGTTTTGACTCGCAAACAAGCTTTCATCTTGCGAGTCTGCTGATCTGTGTAGGAGACCAGCAACAGGCAGACAATCCCACATCGGTTGTTTGCATGTCGCACCTACATAATAGTTTCTTCTTCACTGTTTTTGTATTCTCCATAAGGGTATCAAGTGACTAACCACCCATTCGCTCTTCCCACTCACTCTCCATTTGAAAGATCCTGAACATTTTGAAAAAGGATTTTATTATTTCGACAGGAAGAAATGCCCTTCAGTGGTTAGGTAGCTCTCTTTCGCCTCATACCTTCCATTCTTTGGGTGATAATCCCCGTCTTATTAGATGACGATTATGAAATAACGCGGCAGAGAGGGGGGGAGAGAGAGATACTCATCGCCAGAAAAAATATAACCAAAAAGGAGTTGAGCGATTTTGCCTATTTTCCATGTCTCGATACATCAAAGTTACCAGTTCGTGAATGGTCTCTTGCTGGAGGACGTGAGGGTAGAGCTTTCAAATAATTTTTTTTTCATTCGTCATTTGAAGGATTCCATGTTCCCTTAAGTGTTTGGTTTTCGTGTCATTAGAATGTCAAATGCATTTGTCTATATCATAGATCCAGAGAAGAACCCCGTCCAAAAATTGAAGGAACTCAGTGAAAAGAATGGTTGGGGACAGCCCAAATATGTTGACGTTGGAGAAAGCGGTGCAGCGCATGATAAAATGTTCATCGTGAAGGTGAGCAGTGAAAATTATGTATTATGTATAATATCATTTTCACATGCGATAAGCACGTTCATTTGGGGTGGGGACAGGCCTGACTGACATGCACACATGTTTCAGGTCGTGGTGAATGACAAGGAGTATCAACCTCCCAAGCCGGGCAAAAGCAAGAAGGAGGCACGGGCTATAGCTGCCTCCTTTTGTCTGGAGAGCCTCGTTTGATGAATTGATTATCCTATGAGGGTCGCATAATTCACATTTTCAAATACTTTAGCTTCATCATTAACCTGATGCAGTGCGCGAGGCTGCTTTCACGAAGTTGTCTTGCTTCAAAACAATTGCTTGCTTGTGGGCTACTTCAGAGTCCTTGGCTGAGTGTCATCCGGTATTAAATCGGTTAACAGATATTAAATACTTTTCCTCACAAATAACATTGCGTTTCACGACTAAGTAATACGGATAAATGCGTGAAGAAATCATTGAAACCAGGCACAGGTGGTCATTTATGTAGATTGAGAAAATATCCATGCGACGTTCTCTCACAACACAAAGAAGATGAATTTCGTCATTGTCCTGTTGTTTTCTTCATATTACCAATATTTTATACCAACTAGGAATAAATTAAAATTTTTCGGAGATTACTCAATTAACACTTCGCGTATCAATCCAGGGGCCCCTAACTCTCAACCCATAAAGTGCACGGATATGCCTGCATGGTTGGATGGGTTCTAAACTGTGGTCTTTCTGCGGTCGGTCGGTCTCGGGAAAGACATGTAAGGTATTTCGTAATTACAGGATATAATGTACATTGCTCTCAGCCGATCCGGATCCACTGTTGGCTGTGCCTTGTTGACAGGACGAAATCAATTTTTTTTTCGCGTGGTTTGAGCGGTGTTTGCATTGCAAATCTACTTTTTTATTTCTCATAAAGGTTAATTTTGGTTTCCAAAGGTTCAATATCGAAACCTTGAGCATAATTTAAAAATGTTTTTCTTCATGTATAAGTATATACCATCCTGATTAATTTAATTATATGCGCATGTTTAAGTGCTACAAATATTTTTAAAGCGGAGCCACGGCTTGGGGCATCATCTGAACAATCTTCTAATATTTGTGCCAGGTAAACCTGCTGCAAACCGGAGGAAACGAAACGCTCGAAGGAATTCCCCATTGGATCGTCACAGACCACCATCCAAGAAGCACCCGAACGTGTTCAATGAACGCTTCAATTACGTTATTGCCAGGGTACCATGAACGTCCAAGGAAACGTTTTGGTGACTGCTTACATGTCTGATATTTAAAGCGATCAAAACAGTTTAAATTATGCGTTCCTTGAACGACGTGCGTTTATCAAGGACGTGAATTGGACATTTGAAACAAAAGGGTTCCGTTAATTTTTTTCTCAGGATCCATCCAATATCTAATTAACGTTTATGGATGCGTTCTTTGCGTCACTTCAATTGCATTCAGTCTAATTAGAGCCCTGCTTCCATAACGGGACAGAGGCCATCATCGATTAGTCTAGTTGAAGGCATTATCTCCCATATTTGTTAAGAACTCGTGTTGAAGGGTGTGGCGATAAAGTCACACGACAGAAACTCTTAGCATATTTGCAGTTATGTTGAAAAGTCAGTCACGCCCTTCACTGATTTTTCATTGATTTTCCTTTTCATCGAAGCGATTTCATGGATTCTCATCCTTTCTGTTTCTTTCTCTTTTCCATGAAGTGTCCTTGGAAATTGACCTATCCTCCCTCCATCTTTCGAGCTGGAGTTCTCTGAAGACTCCTTGAACTGAGTTTCCTCTAAAGACCGATTTGTTCAAGAATTTACGCATATTCCCCTCTAGTGTATGTGGAGAAAGATTGGCTACCGTGTGGAAGGCATTGGGAACTAATTCCGGCTGTATCAGGAATTGACCCTCTCTAGTCTTTCGTCATCTAGCGTCCGTTGTGCGAACCTGCGCTTCAAGCCATTGTCAGATGCATACTATTGATATTGTTCAGGAAAACGTATATTTAACGTTCGAGGAATGTCCTTCAAATGCATTGACCTTTTCGAAAACGCGTTGAACGTCCTCAAGAAGGATTATCGGCTACATTGGCACTGTCAAATGTAAAAAGCCTGCAGGTCTAACTCCACCCGTAATTATCTTTGGCACCCGATCACATGAATGGAGCATTGTGTCAATAAAGGCGAAGAAAAAATAGTTTAGCAAAATCCCAGAGCCGAAACGGTAATGCAACACTGAACGCGCCGATGTATTTATTCAAAGATGACTTCGCATATCATTCCGCGTGGCACCTCAAGGTCGATGGAGCGCGGTGCCCATAAAGCGAAAAAAATCATATTCTACGTACTTAGTCACGTAGGCAATGACCCTTCATGGCCGTTGGGCATGCCCCGACTGGGCCATGGCCAGTCAGAGTCCATTTCCTTAGATAAGAGACGGCAGAGTATGTCAAGCGTGAGACACATCTCATGCTGAACCTTGATGATTTAGCGCAACTTCGCCTATCTCTTTGTTAAAATTATGAGAATCGCCTCTTAAGCAGAAACCATGAGCAAAAATGAAAAAGGAAAGATAGTACATGTGACTTATTCCAGATTTATTGGACACTTGGAAAAAATTGCGAGTTTTTATCCGGAAAGTGATTGGACCCCTGATGACATTAGTCTACTCGTGAGTCACTCTGGGATGGTGATGTGATGTGACTCCTTGCTTTCGTCTCTGTGGTGTTCACTATCTACGTATTTATGAATTTCAGGAATAATTTTGCTATATTAGGTTTACCTGGAGTGGGAATTGAATCACTTGAGGACGGAGTTAAAATACCGTTGGACTGTAATTGATATGCATTTAAGTGAGTTGGGCTGCATTAAAAATATGACTCTTCCACTGACGAAGTGATGGAAATGGATTATGGAGTGATGCAGACTGAATTCACCAAAGGAAAGGACACTGTTGAACTTATTTTATTTTTTATACTAATGTAAGTAGCCGATAGGCCTGCAAGCCTTCGCATTTTCATGCCACATGCTATGCGCGTTTCATGATTCGTCCATGCAGCAATTAGGCCTACCAACCTTTGCCGTTCCAGGACCTAGGCTGGGTGGGATGTGTGATGCGATGTGCCCGCGGAAGAGAAGCGGCGAAGTTCTGCACTGACCAGTGAGCAACTGAAGATGTTAATGACCAGAGGAGAACTGCATTAACGCATTGCGTCCCGGACATTTTACCCCATCCATCGGCCGCTCTGACCTAAGCCTAAGTTGCCTTAAACTTAAACCCGATGCCAACATGGCTATGACTTTTTCAGCCACACGCTAGACAAAAGGACTCCCGAAAGGTATAAGAAACAGAGATCTCCGTGAGCCGTACGCAAAGTGTTGACTGCAGAACAATATAAGGCTATTAATGCTGCGCGGATAGCAGCGCTCGTACGCGTCGAACTCTTACCCCATACTCTCCATCCTAACACACGGTGAGGCCTATCATTTCACATCTACCAGTCTACATCCATTTGATAACGTTGTTCCTCCGTTGAATCAAAACCAGCAACTAGCGTATACTCATCCCTACGTTTGTGCGGATGAAGCGGTTCAAATGCAGCAGGGCATGAACATTCGGAACAGGTAGTGCGTCCCTGTATGAAGTCGAAGGAGCAAGTGTCAGTAGAAAACAATTCCTGTACACCACACTAATTCAGATACTAGATGCGTCATTCCTCGCGCAAAATCCAGGTGATGATTCGAGCTACCGAAATCATCAATTGGAATGAAGGACCGATGGCGCCCACTGAAGCACTGGCAACGGTGGAACAGGCGTTGCGGGACTCGATTGACGATGACCGATTCAGTGGGAAAGTAGTTATGCTGGGTGGTGTCATTAGCCAAATGTTGCCAGTCGTCCGCAAATCATCTCACAGTTAAATCATTGAGACTTGCGTCAAAATGAGCGCGTTGTGGTCATCGTTCTGAACGATTCGTTCGATAGAAAGAATGCGATCTGCTGCAGACGAAATTCGATTGACTCGATGTTTGCTCCACGTGGGCAGTGAAACATTTCCACGAATACAGGCTGATCTATATGAGCTCTCCGTGCGATAATCAGGCAATTGTATCTCCGATATTATGGTGAACGAGCCGATCTAAAAGCCCAAAATAGCTTAACCTTTCTACTTTGCCCCTTTAGACTTTCTACTTTATCTTCCAAACTAGGCCAAGTCAAATTAAAACAACGAATAATATATTTTCTGTGGGAGAAAGTGAAATTCGTATATTCGATCTAAAATGATAACAATAAGAAGCTCCTGGTATTTGCTAGATTAAAGGTATTGGTAATATTGCCTGGATATTTCTCAGAACAATTCTTGGAACAGCGCAAAGTTTACAAGTGGATCATTGGATGAGGTGTAATAATCATGAGTCATTACATCTCAAATGCAGTGATGGTCTATCCTGCATCATCTCAAAATGCAATTAGCGTACTTGGAGCTTGCTAAGGTTTGGCCTTAAACCGCTTTTGGCTAAATTAAAAAATATTTAGTATTACATAGTCTAATATATATAGACGATGGTGACTGACGCTAATTCTAACCATGTTCTAAAGAAGTTAGAAATCTGAAACTTGGTACACATTTACCTACTGGGATGCAAAGTTCAGAAAAAATCTGACTTTGGAGGTACATGCCTTGGGGGTTCAACTTTTGGGGGCAAACGTTCTTATAAAATACTAGCGAGTTTGCGAGTGGTCGCGCATTCGGCGCTCTATTACCTTGGATAGTGATTATTTCATTTATTCTTTTCGAAATGGCAAACACGTATTTGAAGTACGTCCCTATTGAAATACGTGACATATGGAGTCGAAAGTCTTGAATTTTATCAAAATCATTACCTCTATGAATATGTGTGCCTAACCTGAAATCTTTCCTTGTGTCCCTTTTTCTAAGGGTGGAGAATACATTTTGAAATACTTCCCTCCAATAATCGACGCTAANCACAAAATTTGAAAAGGTCGCTTTTCCAAATGCATTTTTTTCCGCCAGCAAAAAGGGAAACGTATAAGGCTGAAACTGGGTGGCATGGAGTTCCCTGAGTCTACATTTCAAAAGAAAAAAAAATTTCTTTAAAGCCCATTAGACCACTTTTTTCAGTCCCATTTTCCTCTTTTTTTTTCATCCAGAGGCAGAAAATTTAAACTACTTTCAGAAGTACCTATTTGATGGCTGAGTAGAGCAAAAATCCTAATTTTGAAATATGTCATCTTAGCGTCGATTATTGGAGGGAAGTATTTCAAAATGAATTCTCCACCCTTAGAAAAAGGGACACAAGGAAAGATTTCAGGTTAGGCACACATATTCATAGAGGTAATGATTTTGATAAAATTCAAGACTTTCGACTCCATATGTCACGTATTTCAATAGGGACGTACTTCAAATACGTGTTTGCCATTTCGAAAAGAATATATGAAATAATCACTATCCAAGGTA